TTCCAAGAAAAAGGGGTAAAAGGACCTGATTTTCCTAAGGCAGCTTTCCCCCTAAAGCCTCTCAAGCATTTTAAAGCCAACCAGCTTTGGGGTAATCACTTGCGAGCCCAGTATCTCTGCAATGTCCTATTCCCCTTTATTTTAACTTTATTTATTATTTTTTTGGCAAGACAGAGTCCGCTCCTGGGTCATCCAGGCTGGGCGAGGCAAAGTGGCCCACATCCTTTCCCGGCTCACGCCAAACCCACCCCCCGGTCACGGCCATCCCCTGCCCAGGCCCTAACCTGTGTAGCCTGGGACCCCAACAAAGCCCCCCAACCACGCCTCTGGCCTAAACATTTGCTTTTTTTTTTTTAGTAGAAAAGAGACGGGGGTTCAACCGTGGTTTACGCCCCAAGGATGGTCCTCCCTCGATCCCCGAACCATGGACCTGCCCCCCCGCCTCAGCCTCCCAAAAGCGCTGGGATTACCAGCGTGAAAGCCCACTGCCCGCCGGCCCGCAATGCCTATTCCTCTTCTCAATCCTACCCGATTCTTCTCCACTGCGCTTGACCCTGCTAATACTCTGCAATCTTCCCACCCTTTTTTTTTTTTTTTTTAATGAAGGTTTGGGCCCCCGTTGCCCAAGCCCCTGTAGTGCAATCGCAATACCGCTCACTGCAAATCTCCGCCTTTCCCAGGTCTCCCAAAAGGATTTCTCCTCCACTGGGCCCCTCAGCCCTCCCCAAGTAGCCTTGGGGAAAATTACAAGCCAGGCACCCAACACCTATGGCCCGGGCGATAGATTTTTTGATATTTAGAAAGAAAAACGGGGGTTTTCTCCAATGTTTGGTCCCGGGCCTGGATTAAACGCCCGACATCCCAGGTGACCGCTGCCCCCCTCATCCCCTCCAAAGTGGCTGGGGATTACAGGCGAGCCACCCGGCAGCCCCAGTCCTAGTTCTTCCAATTTTGTTTCCCACAGTTCCCAGAGCCAGTTCCAGTGGGTCCCTTCTTATCCCCTAGGCCCCAGTTTTTTCTGAGCATCTCCTAACCATGTCTCTCCTCGTATCCCTGTCCAAGGGGCCATTCTTAAATGAAAGAACCCATCTGGGGGAGGGCAGTCCTTCAACTCAGAAAAAAACCAGAAAAAAGTCCCCTTTTCCACAAGGCCCTACCCAAAGTGACCTCCCCCCTCCACCCTGGCCCTTCGCGGCACACAGGCTACACTCTGCCACCTTTCCATGAAACACTGCCAGAAAAATACCACAAATTCCTCTCAAACAGACGGTCCCAGCCTTGAAAACCTGCGTCCTCCACCCGAAAATACGCTTTCCCCCTCTCCCCATTCCTGTGATACTGTTTATAAATAAAAAAAATTATATTTTTTTGGGGCGGGGGCCGGCTGGACCCCCAACACCGTTTAAATCCCAGCAAACTTTTTGGGAGCCAGGGTGTTAACCCCAAACAGGTAAGGGAGAATCACGAAAAACCATCCGGAGGCTAAACAACGGTGGGACTGTCTTGAAGAAAAGCAAAAAAAAAAATAGCCGGCAATGGTAGCAGGCCCCCACCTTGTAAGTCCCAGCCTACTTGGAAAAAGCCCCTGGAAGCAGGAGAAAATGGCGGCGTAACAGGGAGGTGAGCGCCAGTCAGCGAGAATGCCACGCACTCAGCTGGTGGACACGGAGCGAGAAAAAATTCCGTCTCAAAAAAAAAAAAAAAAGAAAAAGAAAAAAAACCCCGGGTTGCCACCTTGGCTCAATGCCTATCCCAACACTTTCTGGGGAGCCCAAGGGGGCAATCCCACGCAGGGCCAGGAGATCGGAAACTTTCAACCCTCGGGCGCTACAATGGTTGAAAACCGCCACCCCCCTACATTAAAATACAAAAAAATTTACCCAGGCATAAGTTGCCAGGCACCTAAATCCGGGCACCTCCCGGAGCGAGGCCAGGACGAAGGCCCGTGGAAACCCTGAAGCAGGGAAGGCCTTTGTAAATAGGCTGAGATGAAGCCATACGCCTCCCACCCCCTGGGGGGCAAACAAAGCCCGAACTCACATCCCTCCAAAAAAAAAAAAAAAAAAAAAAAGCCTGGTGTGGGTGGGGGTGATCACCCTGTAATTCCCAGCTAAATTCCCAGGCGGAAGCCTGAGCCAGAAGAAAAATCTTAACCCTAGAAGCGAAGTTCAGCTGAACCCCCCGAGGAATGTGCCCAACTGCAAACTCCAACCCCTGGGGCCCAACAGAAGCGAGAATCCCCCCATCCCAACTTTTGGGGAAGTCCAAGGGGGTGGGAACACCTTGAAGGGTCAAGGAGTTTTTCCAAGACCAGCCTGCCCCTCAACCATGGTGAAACCCCGCCTCCAATAAAAATACAAAAAAATTAACCCCAGCAAATGAATTGGGCCCAGGTTGGGCCTGTAATCCCAAGCTACTCGAAAAAAGCTGAGGGCAGGAAAAGAAATCGCTGAACCTAGAGGCCGAGTTCACAGTGGGACCGAGAATTGCAAAACCTATGCACCCCAGCCCTAGGTCCAACAGAAAGCGACCCTCCGTTTCAAAACAAAAACAAAAACAAAAAAAACCGAGACCAGACCCGGTCCAATACCCTATGTCCCCCTCTGCCCTACTTTTGGTTTTTCCCTCCATAGGAACCCTAGCAAACCCTTCTTGTTTTTTTTTTCCAGGACTGCAACTCTCCCGCCCCCGTTGCCCGCCGGGAGTTAAACAAATGCCGCCGATCCCAGTTCCCAAACCTGCCAAACCTCCCCGCCTCCCAGTTTCAAACGATTCTCCTGGCCCCCGTCAGCCCCCTCCCTGAAGTAACTGGGAATTTAAAAGCACACCACCACCAGCCCTGCCCCCCTAATTTTTATTTTTAGAGCAGATGGGGTTTTCACAATGTGGGTCCCCCCCAAGGGCCTGGTCAACCTCCTGAACCTCATGATCACACGCCCCTCAGCCTCCCACAGGCGGCATACAGGCGTCACTGCACGGCCACCTAGCGCCTCAATATACTATTATTATTATTTTGT